TTACTGTGTTTTAATTTCAGTTTTATCTGTGCTGTTGTTTTATATTTTTAGGAGTCACTTATTGATTTCACTGTTGTTTTAAAAATCTATTATATGTCTGAAGTGGTTGTGCAATTTGCAAGATTAACTGGGGGAAAATTATTTTGAAGAATGGGAAGCAATATTTTTAAAATAAGTAAAGACAATTATGATAAAAGCAATAGACTTATGCAGGATGAAGAAATAAACTATTCAACTCAAACTATCAGGACCTTCTTGGTTAAGAAGTTTTAGATTCATTATGCAACACTGACATTTTCCCCTTGAGGGCTGATCCCAAGTAACTGTACTCTATTACTGAAGACACTCAATGACATCTCCAACTTTCCCTCTGGGGCAACTAACCACCACAAGCTTTTTGATGCTGAAAAATATTTCTGCTAGATTAGAACATTTTACTTTGAACAGTTCAGAGTGGTTCAAATACAGTTCCTTTTAAAAAAAATTCATACAGTTCCCATATAGGCAACTTTCAGAGTTAAATTACCGTATTTTTCGCACCATAAGACGCACTTTCCCCCCACAAAACAGGGGGGTGGAAAGTCTGTGCGTCTTATGGAGCAAAGAAAACAGATTATATTTTCCTGTTTTCTTCTCCTAAAAAATTGGTGCGTCTTATGGAAAGGTGCGTCTTATGGAGCGAAAAATACAGTATTTCTTCTTCAGGCAGAATAGCATACAATTGCTTCATATGCATTAGTCTCAAATTTTTAGGCATTAATGCTGCATCCCAGAGTTTAAGAGCAAATAGTACCGTTGTTTGTAATTAATTCTTTTTCTTCAATATCTAATGTATAACTACATCACATTACAACTGTAAGGGGACGTAGGAGGAGCATCCTTCAGGAGTGGAAAGCATTGTGAATACACTTGAGCACCCCCTGGGCAATGACAGACAGCTGGCCAATCCTTCAGTCCCAGAGGTGTTGCACTGTAAACTTGCTCCTGAGCAAAATGACCAACAGTCCCCGTGGAACCACAAATGACAATGATTTCTAACATTTTAATTTGTTTTAATCTTTAACGATAATTCATATACAGCCACAATTTTTAATTGTGCAATGTTCTGATACAAAGCAAGCAAGAAAGGCATTACAATTGTTATCATCAAGGGATAATTTTACTCTTTCTGTAGTAGAGCAATAATTTTATCTTCCTTTATTTACTTTCAGCCTTACTAAACAGTGGAGAAGGACTATTACGCAGTTGAAATGCTGGTTCACACTGCGCCTTGTGCTATGTTACCTTGTGTTCTGTTATAAGTGCGAAGATAGACATGGGAAACAAAAGACAACATTTCTGCAGACTCCTAACAATCAGACTTTTAAGAGATGCAGTCCAAAGTAATGATGTTAGTTGCTAGACGAAACAGGAAAGGAAAAGATACTTTTTATAATGGCAACTATGATGGCACCTAACTCCTTGTGGAGGTGTTTTGGAATGATTACTAGAATCTATTTGTTTTTTAAAAGTCATTTGATAAGCATGGCTAATTCCATATTACTGTTTTCAAGTTATAAGCATAAGTTCTTGTTAAATCTGTTTAAATATAGCTTAAAGACAGGGATGGCACTTATGCAATAACTCAAGGTAAAAAACCATGTACTTTTGTACACTTGGGAAAGAACCTATCACATGCCCCCTCCACTAGAATCTATTTGTTTTTTAAAAGTCATTTGATAAGCATGGCTAATTCCATATTACTGTTTTCAAGTTATAAGCATAAGTTCTTGTTAAATCTGTTTAAATATAGCTTAAAGACAGGGATGGCACTTATGCAATAACTCAAGGTAAAAAACCATGTACTTTTGTACACTTGGGAAAGAACATATCGCATGCCCCCCCCTCTTTTTTTTAACAAAAGCAGAGCCAGTGTGGTGTAGTTACACAAGGACTTGGGAGATCTTGACTGAAATCCTCATTGGTCATGGAAACTCACTCCTTAAATACGTCACATATCTTGACAATCCTTTCAGAGTGCTGTACATTGGATATGACTTGACAGCATGTAATAATTGTAAAAAAACAAAAACAAACCCCTCTAAATAAAATGGCCTATATCATTGTCAATGTGGAGAAACCAGTGTCACAAGTGCAGAATTGGAGGGAAATCCAATCATTCCAATTACGGTAGATTCATTTAATGAATGAAATCTGTTAAATGAAGACTTATGTAAGCCCTATTGACCCAACTGGTCTACTCTAGTCTAGAGCTGAACAACCTGATTTAGCTCTAATCTGACAACCTCTCTAAAACTGCTAGCTCACCCCAGTGTCTTCTCAGTTTCCAAACATTTACATCTAAAAAGTGGGATTGTTCTTTTAACATGCATTATTGTATGTTAAGATTTTAATATTTGCCTCCATGTACAGTTAGATGTAATTACGAAACAACATGTTTCCTCCTTCAGAACAATTTTGACACGTAGACGTTGCCCTCAGAAGGGTAGAGGAGCAGGTCCACATCTGTTCATAGGACTCCTACAAAAGTGGGCTGTATTAAGTTAAATTTCAGATTGATGTTCGTTTGAGTTGTAACTTCACATTACAAACAAAATTCACACTGCACTGCAAGGTTCTTTAGTTTTACATAAATAACATTATGCAGTCATAGATGAACTGATTGCATACAACAAATGATCCACAATTGACCTTTCTCCTGGTACTACTTGGCACAGTTATAAAAAAAAGTGGCAGAAAATACTATGTGTAAATATCACGTTATCAGTGTCTACAGCAACACATAAAACTAGTTATACTGAACATAAATCTTCAAATAGTTTTTTTTTTCCTGAACAGCAATGTAATCCTCCAAGAAATTGTATGAATATTTGTTCACACGGATCCAGACCTGAACTCTAAAATAAATTCAAATGACCAGTTAAAAATAAGTAACCTCTCCCTTTTACCTTTCTTACCCTCTCACTGATCACACCAAGAATCAGTAGAAATTTATAAATTTAACCACAGCAGTAGTTTTATACATTTTGCATTTCTGTTAGCTTCTGACTTCTGTGCTGTTACAAGGACAAGAACCCTGCTGCACTAAGAAAACAGCTCCCTTTAAATAACTTACAAAGATGTTACAAAAGTCCCATTTATTTTCCCTACATGCATAACTGTACCTATCACTGGATTATGCGTGACACCTAGTTTTTATCAATTATATGTGTGAAGTTATTTTATCTGAGAGATGGAACTCAACCAGTGATCAAATACGTACTGGGATGAGCTGTAGAAACGTAGAAAACCACAGTATAAATAGTAAAAGTAAATAAATGCTCTAGTAAAGCTGAACTGGAAGCAGATTTCCTATCTTGTGAACTCAAAATAGTTACAAAAATGATTGTACATGCTATGATTCTATGTGGCACATGCTATCCAAATTCCACATTGGACTTTATCAATTGTTTCCAAACCTGGTCAGTTCTGTTTGAGAGTGATCTTTCAAAACAATAAACAATTTTTGTAATCCACAACCAATATTGTCTTGGAATCTGGGCTGCACCTAAAGGTATCATTCAGCATAAATAATAAAGTGACAAGTTCCTGAACTTGCAACTTCTTTGTTATCATCTATCTGTATAATCCAAATAACATTTTTCCTTTTTAATTCCACAGGGCAATACTCAAATACTAAATTAACACTCAATCTAAAGCATCCAGTTCCCCTAGCCTTGCAGTTTCCAGTTACTGTATCTACTTTTGCAGCTTCCATGTTAAATTTTGTGTTGTCCTCCTTTTAATACACTGGTTTTTGTAACAGATCAAATTTTGAACATTTTTATAGGATCTATAATAAAGGAGCATTTTTTTCCTACCAATAAAAGTAAGTGTGGAAAGATAACTCTCTTCAGCATACGAAGCAGTTTCTATTTTAACGTTTTATATCTTTCTGCAGAAGTCATTTTCTCTTCATTCTTACGTTCTAACACTTTCCCATTCACACTTCATACACACGTATATCTCTGTTCCAAAACAAATCTAGACAAATAAAAAGAACTGAATATATGTTCCCTTATCTTTAGGTGTGCACAAATAACATTGGACTGAATTTGGAATTCTCCAACTTTCCTAAATAAATGTTTAATTCTGTGATCTCTCTCTCTCTCTCACGCACACACACACATACACACACACACAAACACACACACACACACACACACACACACACACACACACACACACACGATAAAAGCTATGATGGAGCTTTTTGTGCTACACACAGATCAATGAATTGAAGTGATGTATGTAAACATACTGATGTCAAAATACTTCAGAAATTGCCAATTAACAATGAAAAGAACGCCAGGAATAAATTGTTCTGGAAAAGATCACATGCTGTGTAGGAATACAAACCACGCTCTAAAAGCTGAAGACTTCAGCATACATAATGAGTTACTGTTCATAGACGTTTTACCGTAGGACTTCCTGAGGGCCCCCCTATGCAATCCAAGACTTTCCTCTGAGATTCAACTTTTACTAAAAGTTAGCTCAATGGAACTTTCTTTGTGTAAGTAATAACGCACTGAAGCTCACTTTTTCTTCTCTGTATCTCCAACAACAGAGGTTGTGTTTTCCCCCATTCTAAACATACAATATTCCAATTTTTCTCAATGTAGGGCCAGTTTACATACTACAAGTATAGCCAGGCTGAATGGCATCTTGTTTGGCCTCTACTTCCCATGTTAGGAATTAAATGGTAAATACAGATTTCCTTTAAATGATCACAAATCTGATACAGAGAAAGAACAATTTCTAAGGCTGCAGCAAGGTAATTGTTCTCCTCCTAAATAGGTATGCATTTGTGAAAGGAGCCACAGAAAGATTGAAAGACTACTTTTTAAAAACAGAGAAAGTGACAGGAGGCATTCGCCCCTTAGGATTAGTAAGAAACTGGATAGGGTGTATGGGCACTCCTAGTTAACAACAACAACAAAAATGAGGAAGCTATACTTTACCAGTGCAGAAGTTCATAAGTGTTGAGGAATTGCACACAGAAGCAAGGCAAGGCAAAGCGTCTTCCATTCTTGCCACCTACGTTATGAGAACTACGAACCACTTCTGTCTATGTTTCCTGCTGCCTTCCCAGAGTTTCAGAGCAATCCCCACTTCTCCAATTCAGACAACATACTTGGAATTCTAAGGAAATCCTGCCAGTCCAGATGGCTCACCGCAAAAGCACTTAAGCACAGTGCAAGTTAAGAAGTCCTTACAATAAGCTTTCCTTCTTCCGAACCCTGGAACTCTACTATAAAGAAGTGCTTCTGCCTTTAACTGTGTGCGAGAGTGAGGGAGGCAGAAGGAGGTGGGGGTCGGATGTGGGGGGAGGAATCTGAGACTGCTGTAGGGAGTGGCTAAATCCTAGACGTCATAACTACACTAATAAAGGCACTGACTAGCACAGACACTACACAGTACTGTAATCTGTCATACAGCAGAAACTCAGAATTAAAGAGCTTACCAAGTGCTATAGATTTGCTTCTTTTCTTTGTGTCTGCAAAGAAACAAACCTATAAACAATTATGATATTTATAGGGTTTTTATTAACCGACGTGCTGAATCAACTAGAGTACCAATAGTTGCAAAATAATCCATTCTAAATGCTAGTCAGCTGAGAGAGAGATTTCAATTGGAGCACTCAATTTTAAAGTGTTACCTTTGTTCTTCACAGTTAATTAAATTAAATTATAACCACAATAACTGCATTGGAAAGGTTTCCACAAAGCAAAAGACAGAAGTAATATCAAATCATTGTTCCTACAATATTCACAAAGAGTCCGCCCTTTTGCTTGCTATGCATTAAGGTACAGGAAATAAGGGAGCTCGTAATTTGCTTTACACAGAAATGTATTCTGACATAATCAAGGGATGGGAGTGTGTAATTAAAAAAAATACGTAGAAGGAAAAATAGAAAAGGGAGGGGAAAAAATGCAGAAAGAAACCAGCAGTACATCCTCTCTATGCATCTAGAACACCCAAATCTGGCACCTCATATATTGGAATGCAGCTCCCATGATCCCACAGCTAGGAAGGCCAATGGAAACAGTTTCAGGAAGACTACGCTAGAAAATAAAAGATTGCCATGTGCTTCCTTTAAAACATTGGGGAGAAACACATTGTCTCGGTCTAACTTAACTTATCTGGTTCTTGTTATTGTCAAATTGTTTTTCCACCACTTTTCATACCGTCTGATACCTTCATGTTTTGAGGATCATGGCATACAAGACATCTTGAGCACTGTGAAACACGGTCAGGGTCCAAACAAGACTGCACAAGAAAATGATAGATCTCCTACTGGAGCATTTTGAAATTATATACTCAGTCATTCAAAAAGGCATAATATCTCCAACTACGGGAAAATGTAGCTCTCAGAAGATTATCATTTCATTAAGTGTGTGAGAACTCACATTACAATTGCACTGCAGTCCATTTAATATGATCATGCTTTTGTCTGACTTGCAAAACTGAGCAGAGCCAAAGGAAAGCTAATGAATGCAACATGTGTTCACTCTTTTGGTAGCTGTGCCTAAAGCCAACTGGCAGAATGATCACAGCAAGATAAATGTCAAAACAAAGCAATCTGACCGTGTGGAGTGCTCCCCGCCCCCCAACATCTCTTTAATATGTTAGGAGTAATTTGCATCTCTTCAAGCACAGTCTTAAAAATACACGTCTTTTTTTTCTAACACAAAGGAAAGGACAAAGGAGGGGAAGAAAATCTGATCTGACATCTGTACATTCAATGCTTGTAAATTATTTACCTGTTGTAAAGAAAGATAAAATGATACATATGTCAGTGGCTAGTCGCCACAATAGCTAACCGGAACACCCAAGGTTTCAAATCAGTGTATCTCTAAATACCAATGACTCAGCTGGGGGGTCAGGCAACAGAATGCACTTTTGTCTCATGTTTTCATGCTTCCTGGAAGTATCTGGTTGCCTGTTGTTTGGAAAAATCTTATATGAACCACATACTTATTTTTTAGTAAGCAAAGTAATAATAGGCAAAGCTAAAAACAATCAAACGTATGCTCAAAATCCTACAAGGTAGGCTTCAGCAGTAGGCGGATGGAGAATTCCCGAAAGTACCTGCTGGATTTTGAAGGGGCAGAGGAACTAGAGACCAAATTGCTAACATGTGATGGATTATTGAGAAAACCAGAGAGTTCCAGAAAAAATATATACTTCTGCTTTGTTGGCTATACAAAAGCCTTTGACTGTGTGGACCACAGCAAACTATGGCAAGCTCTTCAAGAAATGGGAGTGCCTGACCACTTTATCTATCTACCGAGAAAATATATATGTGGGACAAGAAGCAACAGTTACAACTGGATATGGAACAACTGATTGGTTCAAAATTGGGAATGGAGTACGACAAGGCTGTATATTGTCACCCTGATTACTTAACTTATATGCAGAATACATCATGTGAAAGGCCGGACTGGATGAATCCCAAGCCGGAATTAAGATTGCCAGAAGAAATATCAACAGCCTCCGATATGCAGATGATACCATTCTGATGGCAGAAAGTGAGGAGGAATTAAAGAACCTTGTAATGAGGGTGAAAGAGGAGAGCGCAAAAAAACGGTCTAAAGCTCAACATTAAAAAAAACTAAGATCATGGCCACTGGTCCGATCACCTCCTGGCAAATAGAAGGGGGAGATATGGAGTCAGTGACAGATTTTACTTTCCTGGGCTCCATGATTACTGCAGATGGTGACAGCAGCCATGAAATTAAAAGACGTCTGCTTCTGGGCAGGAAAGCTATGACAAACCTAGACAGCATCTTAAAAAGCATGCTGAAAGCTATGAGCATAGTCAAAGCTATGGTTTTTCCAGTAGCGATGTACGGAAGTGAGAGCTGGACCATAAAGAAGGCTGACCGCTGAAGAATTTATGCTTTTGAATTGTGGTACTGGAGGAGACTCTTGAGAGTCCCCTGGACTGCAAGGAGATCAAACGTATCCATTCTGAAGGAAATCAACCCTGAGCGCTCACTGGAAGGACAGATCCTGAAGCTGAGGCTCCAATACTTTGGCCATCTCATGAGAAAGGAAGACTCCCTGGAAAAGACCCTGATGTTGGGAAAGTGTGAAGGCAAGAGGAGAAGGGGACAACAGAGGACGAAATGGTTGAACAGTGTCACTGAAGCTACCAACATGAATTTGACCCAACTCTGGGAGGCAGTGGAAGACAGGAGGAGCATGGTGTGCTCTAGTCCATGGGGTCACAAAGAGTAGGACACAACTCAACGACTCAACATCAACAACAAACTATCAGAGTACTAGTGGGCAACTATAGCCCTCCAGATGGTTCTGGCCTGCAATTTCCCATAACCCCTCATCTTTGGCTAATGCTTAGGGTGAAGGGAGCTTTAATTCAAATATAAATTACCAATGTAGCCAAGAACAACATAAGGACAAAAGTGACACAGTGTGACAATGAGTTGGAATAAAGGAACATCCCACTCAGTATTGTTCTCTAAGGTTCAAAAGATGTAAATCTCAAGACTTTCTGCTTGCAAGCTATGTGTTCCATCACTGACCTACAGTCATTCCCAAATTATCACAAGAAGTACTACTGATGAGAAAAGGAAGATTGGTTTTTCAATTCACAATAATCATACATTATTGAGGGAATGTAAACAAATGCCAAGTTGGCAACTCACCTGCAAACTATTAAGGATAGCCTTGCTGTCCTTCCTCCACATCAAGAAAAACTTACTGTCCATATTCCAAGTAAGTTTGCATCTTCATCTGTGGAAGCACAGGAGTGAGGGACCTTTACACTGAATGTGCATCAGGAAAGCTTTCCCTGTAGGCAAAGGCATTAGTTCCTTAATATTCGTTAGTTTGGTCACACATCTGAGTAACAGGAAATTAAAGAATTTGCAAGTAAAGAATGCGTATTTGGGCAAAGCTGCAAACTACCACCATGCTGTGGGAACCATAAAATGCATTTAGAATAGGAAGCTGCAAATGGAGGTTGCTGACCTCTGAGGAAATTCCTGAGGAATTTTCAAAATGGAGAGAGGTGAAAAGTGGTGTGCTCCAGGGATCTGTCCTGAGCTTTTCAGCCTGTTCGTTGTTCAAAAATGACCTGGAGACAAGGATAAGGAGTTGAGGTGGCCAAGTTTCCAGATGACACAAAACTTTTTCTGGATGGTGAAGACCAGAAGGGATTGTAAAGAGCTCCAGAAGGAGCTCTCCAAACTGGGAGAATGTGCAGCAAGACGGCAAATGTGTTTCAATACAAGAAAATGTAAAGTAATACACACTGGGACAAAAAAATCAGAAGTTTATTTATCAGCTGATGGGTTCTGAGCTGTCCATGACGAATCAGGAAAGAGATCTTGGTGTGCTGGTGGAAAGTTCGATGAAAGTGTCAGCCCAGTGTGTGCCAGCAGTGAAGAAGGCCAATTCCATGCTAGGCATCATTAAAAAAGGAACTGAAAATGAAACAGCCAACATTATAAAGCCACTGTATGAAATGATGGTAAGGCCACACCTGGAGTATTGCTTACAGTTCTGGTTGATACAACTCAAAAAAGACATAGTGGAACTGGAAAAGGTGCAGAAGAGAGTGACTCAGATGACGACTGGGCTGTGGCACCTCCCTTATGAGGAAAGGCCACACTGTTTAGGGCTCTTTAGTTTAGAGAAAAGGCACCGTTCTTGCAGTTTTGCTCCTGTCTGTTCATATGCCAATAAAGGTATCGAAATCGAATCGAGAAAAGGCACCTGAGGGGGGACATGACTGAGACGTATAAAATTATGCAGGAGATGGATAAAGTGGATAGAGGGAAGCTTTTTCCCCTCTCACACAAAACCAGAACCAGACATCCACTCAAATTGAGTGTTGGAAGAGTGAGAACAGACAAAAGAAAATATTTCTTGACCCAGCATGTTGTTAGTCTGTGGAACTCTCTGCCACAGGATGTGGTGATGGCATCTGGCTTAGATGCCTTTAAAAGGGGATTGGACAGATTTCTGGAGGAAAAGTCCATTGCAGGTTACAAGTCATGATGGGTATGTACAATCTCCAGGCTTAAAAGAAAGGTACCTTCAAATACCAACTGCAGGGGGTGGTATCAGGAGACAGGTATCTAGTTGTCTTGTGTGCTCCCAGAGGCATCTGGTGAGGCCACTGTGAGAGACAAGAAGCTGGACTAGATGTGCCCTTGGTCTGATCCAGCAGGGCTCTTCTTATGTTCTTATGACTACCTCTAAAGTGCCGCTTAGGGACTGTAACGGACTAACTGAATGCCCTCACAGTAAGTGCTT